GATACTCCTGACCTGTATCATAATTTGTTCAAGTCTTTAGCACTTTTAAAATTCAGCCATAGACAATAATCAAATGATATATCTGAAGAGAAATATTTAATTAACCACCGACTTCCTCCCAATCAAATTAGTATTTTCCAAATGTCCTTTTCAGAAACTTTTAAGATGTTTAAGGTCTGCTAATATTCCTTTGTCAACATGCATCCCCAAAAACATTTCAGTTCTTAAATTATATAGCCAATCTAAATGTAGGCTTATGCAGTTTAGATTTTTTTTTTAAGAGAATTTTGTTCACACAGAGAAATATATTGTAATTAAAATACAAAGTGAAATCCTCAATGCAGCCAATGCCTGGATAATACATGCTGTATCACTCCCTATCCCAATACTTTGTCCACTCAACTATGTCAGAAATCTAAGCTTGATTTGTTTTTAAGTACATAATTCATTAAATGTTTCCATATGCCATAACTGTTCAGTTGAGAAATTATTTGTAAACCTGTTTATAGGCCTTATCTGAAAAATATAACACACCTGTTTTAAAATGAGATTACTTCACAAAGCTAACAATTGTGGAATCACATTTTTGTAATAAATCAACCTACATGAATTAGACTATTCATATAGTTTCAGGAAGCCCTTTAATCCCTATTAATAGTTTATGCATAATGAAAGCAATTAATATTAATTTTAGTTGATAAATCCAACACCAGTAACCTGTTCATATACTTTATTTTCCAACAGCCTGTAAAAATTAACCAACAGATGCTTCCAATCTGGTAAAAAATGCACAGGTCATTAGCATAATTCTGATGATAACAAATGTTCTATATATGAATATTATGATTAAATTTTAGAGAATATATAAACAATGCTTTTTTATAACCTTGTTAAGCCCTAACAGAAGCTGTAGACAGTAAAATATGGTGCCTTTTCTGAAATAAAAACCAGCATTTGTTACTTCCATCCTCATTCTAATGTTCAAACTAAGGACTTGATGGAGTCTCACCGAGACTGTAAAAGCAACAGGAGTCCAGGCATTTGTCTAGTTTCTCACCACAGTGTCCCAAAGCCCAAAACAAGGCTGAACATACAGTGTGCAATGGAGTACGTGTTGACTTGAACAGAAGTAGCTAAATGCAGGAAAGAGAAAAAAATGGAAGAAAGTAATGAAAGAAATGAAAAAGGAAAAACAAAAATGGGGGAAAATGCCTACATGTTATTTTGCAGAAGAATTCTAAATGTGGACATCTAAGATTTAGCTCAAAAACTTAGAACTCAGAGAAGGAAATCAAGGTGAAATACTTTAATAGTAAAATGACTAATAAAAAGAAAATCCAAGTAATATTAACATTCATATTTATTGTCTACATCATATATAATGATCTTTCTATAGATACAGTTTATATTTTTAAAAAGTGTGTATACATATCAAACATATAAATATATACATATAAAGAAGTTGTTCTTGCTATCATTAGTCATTAGAAAAATGCTGGCTGTACTTTTCTCTAAATTTATTTGAGTAGCCATGTGGGTATGCTCATCTTGTGGCAATTATAAAGAGGTATACTTGTAATATGTGAATTTTATTTTTGTATCTTTGTTACACTTCAATTAAAATGTGATTTTCTAAGTCCAAAGAGACAAAATGATACCACTGAAGCAGAAAAAAAATCATTTCACAAGAAAAGGAATTCCTATTCTGCTAGAGGTAAGTCTAAAGTGCTTCCCAAGATATCCCTACTGAAGGGATGGTATCTGTGTCAGAGAGGGGACTAATTTAAAAATCAGAAGTAAAATCTAGGCAAAAAGGGCCCTCCCTGGTGGCGCAGTGGGTTAAGGTACAGCATCGAGAATCTGAGGCCACCTCCGCATGGGTTCGATTCCTGCCTGCCCCGGAGGAGATCCACATGGCGTGGCAAACCTCTCCTGACCCTCCTGCTGCTCCC